CTGAATGGATCGGTGTTCCCTAAACATGGATCAGCTATGCAGAGAGAACAAGTTAGAGATGGGCCTGGTGGTCAGGAAAACAACAGGAACACAAGTGAGTTCTCGTGAAACAACCCCAAGATCGATGGCATCAACTCTGCCCTTTCTAGACAGTGTTTTCATTGTTGTCAATGCGACAGCTGCCACAGAACACCTAGTATAGGTGTAGTTGCTCAAATCAGCCTGACTTAGTCACTCCAAGAGACTTCTACCAAGTCCCATCCCCTCCTAAGCACTGGCTGTTGACTCGGCTCACTTTGCAGGGCACAACAGTGACAAACGACATGGATGAAACTGCCAACCTCAGATCTCAAAGACCTTACCATCACCACCAACCTAGCCCTATCCTTCCAAATTACCAGCCCTGGTCATCATCACACTATCTCAGTTTTTTCTCATCTATCAACAGCATTAGACTTCCCAGTAATGGCTGAAAATGGAAACGCCCTTACTGTACTTCATCAAAAATACAAGCACACAAGCCACCAAAGGAGGTATAAATTAAAAATTCCACACAAAAATCTTTTATTTATTCTTTCATTCATTCAGTTAATTTTAATTTCATACTTACTGTGTACAGTAGTCTTACTAGATGCCAGCAACTCCAAACAAGGAACAAGAGGGGGGCCACGGTACCTCTCTTCTTCTCTAGCTTACCCTTAAAAGAGGACAAGGTCCCTACAGGAAAAGCTCAGTACTGCACTGTAGAACACTTGCAACCCTGTCCACTCCAGGATGCAAAAACAGGAAGAGCACCTTCAAACATGGGTGTGGGGACAAACACCACAGTAACATATAGTTCCGGAGTAACTAGATGCTGATAACAGTTCAGGAGGATAGAATGAAGCAAATATCTTCAGAGTTTCAAGCAACTATATCTGAAAAAGAAATGTTCTATTTAAAAAAAAAAAAAAAGCATAGTAAAAATAAATGGGATAGCAACAGTATCTTACACTGGGCCCATGCTAACCCCAGCAGAAAGTGATGCTCTGGGGGACTTTGTTGCTCCCAGCATCACCAGGGAAATGCAAAGACCTAGTCTGATTTTCCAGGCAAATACAGTTGGCTCCCTATCTGTGGTCTGCCCATTGAAGATTTGGGAAACTGCTAATGGAAAATACTGCATCAGTACTAAAAATGTTCAAATTTTTTTCCATCATCACCTAAACAATATAGCATAGCAACTATTTACATAGTCCATACATTGTATTAAGCTTTATAAGTCATCTAGAGAGGATTTAAAGCCTATGGAAGGAGCCAGATACATCAGCGCATCAACCCATAATCACAGCTACCGGGGAGGCTAAGGTGGGAAGACCACTTGAACTCAAGTTCAAGGCCAGTCTGGGCAACACTGCATATGGAAGGATATGTGTATGTTATATGCAAATATAACCATTTCATATAAGGGACTTAAGCAACGGAGGATTTTGGCATCCTGGAGATTGGGGGACTCCTGCAAGCAATCTTTCCACAGACACTAAGGGACAACTTTATATGATTAGCCTATTGCCACAAATAAATAAAGTCAAGGCTGAAATTAAAGCCTGGTGACAGGACACTGAGAACAAGAGAAAGGGACCTTCATGGTAAATCTGGCCTAACCCTAAGCAAGTTGGAACATAATAAGCAACAAAGGCTTATTTTATTTTATAGCAAGAGTAGTGTTGATGCCAATTATTTTTTGCCCTAGTCAAGAGAGCTTGTCATCCTTCTACAGAACAATTATCTATAGGTGCATAATAGTTAAAAGCTAAATTCTTTCTCCAGTTCAGCACAGGAAAAGTGCTGCTCAAAGCTATTTGACATCATTTACTAAATTAGATTAATTTTTAAATGTGTTATTCTAACAATTATACCAACTCCATGTAATTATTATTCCAACTGACTTTACAAAAATTACAAAAATCCCCTAAAGAAAATAATTAGTCATTAGGCATGCATGAGACTTTTCTATGGCCAACAGCACATAAAACAGAAAGTTCACCACATAACGGGCGGTGTCAAAGCCTTCCCCACACTTCCTTCAATTCTTAGCCAATAGCGCAGAAAGCTGACATTGGCAAGTTACCCCAAACTTCACTTAATATATTAATGCACTTACTGGTTTCAAATCTTTGAGGGTAAAATGATGAATGGTGAAAGCTTGAGCAATTAAAAAGCTCTTTTCATTTGCAAGAGAAGATAAACACACATAATTAATTGTTTGCCTCTTTATGAGGCCAGCTGGAAACTGGAATGCTAGCTTATTTCTCCAGGCTATTTCTTGAGTTTATTTATACAGAATCCTTGTCCTGTTCTTCCTCTTCTTTCTGGGTCTCACGGATTCTTTTAATCCACCTTAATTCCTTCCCAGTGTAAGGTAAGGCATAAACAACAGTCACATAGGAAATTACCTACTATAACACAAATAACAAACAGGCTTTCCCTGCAGCCCTCCTATAAGTAACTGGCAATGAGCAGAGTTGAAGGATTCTGAGCCAACACACACAGTCTCAGCAGGAAAGAAGCAATGGTTGATTAGTGATGTCTGTCCTGGAAAGAGTAATAGCCTGAGGACCCAGGTACTATGCATTTGTTGTCATCTCCATTCTTTGTTAAAGCTTTGAAAATTAGGAAAAAACACACAGATTGAATGAATAAAATGTAACGTGAACTCTTTCTTGGATGCAACCAAAAGGGGAAAAATTGTTTTCTATAGTTGAAAACCTTAAACCAAATAAGACTAACCATCAAGTTTTAGAAAGGGGGGGGGGGGGGACAACAAACTAAGTTAGGAAATCCAAATTTTAGTCCAGCTGGGGAGCTGGGAAGAGGCAGTTCACCTCTGATGGGCCTCCATTTTCTGGGCCCTCCCAGAAAGACTCAATCTTCTGACTATACTCTGCTTGTGGCACTAGGAAACTGGTGAAAGAATACAGTTACTTTGTAGGAGCATCACCTCATCAGACTGGAGACATGCCTAAAACTCCACATCTGCTCACATTTGTATGGTATTCATCACCTGTATTTTTAACCTGTAGCATCTAAGGCAAGAGGTTCCATATACATAATATTTTTTCTTTTCCACCTTGGGGCAAGGGTGAGGATCACAGACTTCTATTTTAATAGCTGAGCAATTAAAATTAGTGAATTTAAAAAAAATTAAACAACCTTCACTCAAATGTTCAGTGTCATCATGTCAACATAATACCAGTTGCTTCCCGTGTAGGTCCCTGTAACTCATACTTCTGATATCAGCCTACATCTTCCCATCACTGAAAAGTCCTCATCACTCTAAACATCTTTCAAGAACTTTACCCCCATGACACATCAAAGTGACTTCCTTATCCCAACACCAAAAATCAAGACATTCTATAAGGCATCCAACCAGACTAAATCCACACCATGAACCTACTGACCAGATTGCACCAATCACCAGGAAAACTCATGCAGATGACCAAGAGCATACCTGGGAGAAGCAGAAAGCTCTCCCAGAACAGTCTGAGGGCAGGGCTATGGGCTRGGACAGTGCCATGTCCCAACAACTACATAGACATCTATAATTTTTTTGTCTGCCTGATCCCCTCTGCTATGGTTTGGTTATGTTCAAATGTGTCCTCCAAAGGGTCAAGTGTTTCAAACTTAGTCCTCAGTGCGGCAATGATGGTGTGGAACCTTTAAGACATGGGAGCCTAGTAGGAGGTCCTCAAGCCAAATGAGGACACRCCCTCAGAAGAGACTATGGGAGCCCAGCCTCTCTGTCTTTCTGTCTGATGAGGTGATCTATTTATCTCATGTGTGTTCCCACTGTTATGATGCCATCCACCCTGAGATTCTCACCAGAGTCGGGCCAAGGCCAGCACCTTGCCCTTGAGCTCCTAAACTGAAAGCTAAACACAATTCTTTTCTTTATAAAGTTGGCCTGCTTCTGGTATTTCACTATAAAAAAGAAAAATGAATTAATCGACTGTCTTTTTTGGTAACTGCCCAACTCCAATCCCAAGCTTCCTATCCTCCAGGAGATCCAAGCTGAGAAGCCCATCAGGGTTAAACGCATGTCTCTGAGGACACCGATCAAGCAGGGCAAGGATCCTTTCTCAAGACCTGATGTAGGCTCTGGGAGATCTTCAGGTTTAAGGGTTGCTCATACCTAAAACGCCAGGCCATCTTTTCCAGCACCTGAAGAATATCACACCAACAATAGAGAAGGCCTTCAGGAAGCAAGAGTGTGCAGATTCCTGCCACACCACCTGCACACCCTGCTCCTCATGAGCTCAGCCTAATACCACAAACTCCCTGAACATTTTGGTTCCCTTACCCAATAAAGCCTTCTCCAAACCTCAGGTTTTTTGCAGAGTTTTTGTTTTGTTTTCTAGCTCCCTATCAACAGGAAAACAAACACAGGCAACAACACATAGCAGACAAACAAAAGGAACTCATCCGTCAACAAACTGTTTCCCGGCTTATGAGCCTAACTGCTCCTGTTATTTTTAGACTACAGTTTTCCCTTTACAGTTATTTAAAACAATTAGCAAATAATCTAACAAACAGCATGCTAGAGATGTTGTTCCATCCATGACCAGACAATGATACACAGGAACAAAAACAATGTGAGTGGCTAAACATTTAGACCCCAGTCCTTACCCTTCTGGGTGTCATAAACTCCTCTTAAGAATCTGGTGAACACTACGATACCTTCCTCAGGCAAGAATGCACACACCCCAACATCAAAAGCTTATGAAAGCTGCTCCCTACACTCAACCTGATTAAATGTAATCAATCACCTGGGCATCACTATCAGTCCTCAGACTTAAAGGACTACAAAATAGCTTACAGGAAAATTCTAAAATTTCCAACTCTATAACACTATATTAATCAAAATTTTAAAAAAATAAAAACTTATCCTCACTCTCTGCGTTTATGAAAGACAAGAACGATTGGCTTTTGCTCTATTAACTCCATTTATGATGTCTCCTTACCTTGTTGGACCATTTATATGCTTGCAGGAGTTGACTATAGAGGGGAGTTTTGTCCTGCACGGGATCCAGACTTAACAGCCCACTGTTATGAAGAGGATGGTTCTCAGACGGCTTGCCTACCAAGTTGCTCAGACGTTCCAATTCACTGGAAAATAAATAAATAAAGCAAATAAACCTGAGTTCACTTAACTCCAGAGAAGCAGACCACACTGGCTAAAGGCTGCTCTCCAAAGCATCCATCAGAGGGCCTGGCAGTGGCACATCTATTGTACCAGAGACTGGGGAAGCTGAGGCAGGAGGATCACAAGTTCCAGGCCAGTCTCAGCAACTTGAAGAGGCCCTAAGCAATTCAGCGAGACCCTGTCTCTAAATAAAAGAAGAGCTCAGAAGTAGCTCAGTGGTTAAGCACCCCGGTACCGAAACAAAACAAAAAATTAGGGACAACCAAGAAAACCCCATTATGGGATTTTATCTTAATTTTAAAAAGGGCTCCCTGGTGCTGTTGCAAAGGAGAAAAAAGGTTAAGGGTACAAAACTCAGCAAGACTGCTGAAATGAGGATTTAACAACTCGAATTAAGTCTCCGCGGTAGGAGGAGACTTTCTGGAATTTTGCAATGTGGTACAACATTGCCTCTCACTAAGGGTTTTGAGACCCACGTGCAGATCCCTGCATTTGGCAGAACAGCAAGTACCTGAATAAATGATGATTATTTATCATTCACATAGGGATATATTTGTACATGATGCTTCACAGATGGTAACACTTAGCAAAACAAAGAAGAGATAAAATAAACAAATGGGATGGGAAGGCACCACAAAGGGGGCCATGTCAAACAAACACACTTCAGTCTAGCAGGAAAACTCTGGAGAAGCTAGAGAAAGTGAGCCAACAGCAAAAGCAAAAGCACATTGCAGGAGCATGTACTTAGAAGCCAGTCCCCAACTGCCAACAAAAGACTAAGCACACAGCTTCTCACACTACATTCTTTCCAGAACCTTCAGCTTCCTTCTCCTTGACACTACTGTACAAAGATTTAAGAAAGCAAAAGGGTAATGTTAACATTTTTAAAGTTTCTAAAATGGTGAAAGGTTATAATACCTTGACAATTGCAAAGGAAAGCAAATCAAAAAAAATGGAAATGGAAGCAAAGAACCACCACCCAGGAAATTCCCTCAAGTAGGGAAAGTATTAACTGGCGCTGGGTACCAYACCTAAGAACAAGAAGTGGATGTGGCAGCTGAGGAGGGGGATATGATTTATGGCAACTACTGAAGATGGGGTAAAGGTATCCTTCATTTGGCCACCTTCTATCCCAACTCTTTTTGCTCTGTTACTAAGGAGACCAAATTGGAAAAAAAAAAAAAAAATCTGGGCTGAGGATTATTTCAATGGTAAAATACCTGCCCAGCATGCTTAAGGTCCTTGGTTTGATCCCTAGCACCACCAAAACAAAAAATAATCCAGCCAGGAATCTTCCTGGGAAGCACTAACTCCCTTAAAAAAGGAAAGGCAAGTTTGGGACCTAGGGACCTAAGCATCAAGTACCTACCATGTGCCTGGCATTTTACAAACATCTACTCATTTAATTCTTATGAATCAAGATTCAAAGCAGAAGAAGGTACTTTAAGAAAGACGGGCATTTATGATCCCTARCCCTAAAGGACCACAAATTAAGAGTTGCTGGGGGCAGGGGTTCGCTTAAGTGAACAGGCTAGCTAACAATTACAGATCAGGTCGCTACTGAATAAGATCTGCTGAACAGGACCAATCAAGGAGCAGTGACAGTGCTGGRCAGGTGGTTGAGGAGGAGCAGAGGAAGAAGGAACGACAGATCAGGGCCTGTTTTGTCATGTTGGGAGTGAGGTGAGGTACAACTCATGAATTCAAGGTTCGAGAGCGAGCAACTGGGTCAATCAGTTCCAATGCACTCACCTGGGTCTGAGCAGTGTTGGTCAGGTCCTGTGCGGACTTTCAGCACAGTCTGACCAGACACCACTGGGAGCAGAGGGCCTACAGGTGGGAAACCTGCTAAGCTCGGAGGAGAGGTGGAAGTTCTGCGAAGAGCACGCCGCCTCTTCAGGAACGGACCACCAGAGCCGAGATGAGGGAGGCGGGAAACAGCCAGGACTAGGGAGCCCGGAGAATGGAGACTGGGAGGCGGGGCCCGGGGTCAGGGGTCCCCGAGGGGCTGGCAGAGACCGGAGAGGACGGCGCAAACGGAAGGGGAACAGCCCTGACCCGGAGGACTCGCGAGGGGTGGGCGCTGCCTGGGGATGGGTCGGGTGCCCGAGCCGGCCCCTCGGCCGGTACCTACTTGAGGTCCCGGTTGACCGAATGCAAGTTGTCCTGGAAGTGCGCGATAAAGGCCTTCTCCCGGCCCTCCAGCGTCTCCTTGTTCCGCATGCCATCTTTCAGGCAGTCGAACACCCTGCTCACGCTGGAACGCAGCGCCTGGATGGCACTGATGGCCTGGGCGAAGGCCTCCAGGTTCACCCCGACGCTCAAGACGTCCGCCATGCCTCCGCCCCCGCGGACCCTCCTGGTCGGCTGCGCGCGCCGCGCCGCGCGCGCTGATGACGTCGCAGGGCCGCCGGGAAGTGAAGTACTCGCGGGCCCCGCCCACTCCGCTGGGGCGTGGCCGGGAGAGCTGCCAGGGCTCAGGGCCGGCAGGCTGCACGCTGCACTTGCTCATTGGTGGGCCGCGAGGAGAGCTCGAGCGTTTCCCCAAGCTTGTTCTTTTGGGAGTCACGTAGAAAATAATTGCTCGGAAGAATGAAGTCCCGGAGTCAAGGATTATAACCCACTGGATAAAATGAGTCCATGTTCATAAATAAGGTGGTGGTGGGGTTCTCCCAATTGTGGTATGCTAAAATAATAAATGTCAAAGGAATTTTGAAATTAAAAAATCGCCACTTGGCAGTCGTTCAAATAATAAACTCAGGAATCAACAGATGCTAAAACTTGTGGGTAAAAGTGTGAAAAAAATTACAGGATATTTGCATAGTCTCAAAATACATATTAATTAAGAAGGGAGAATTAATAGTTCAATAATTTGCTTCTGGACATATACCCAAAAGAGTTAAAAACTGGGTCTCTAAGAGGTCATTGTACACCCATGTTCTTGACAGCATAGCTCACAATAGCCAAAGAGTGGAAGCAACCCAAATGTCCATCAACCAGCCGGTAAACAAGATGTGGCATCTCCAAACAATAGAACATTATCTAGCCTTACTAAGGAAGGAAATTTGGACACATGCTAATCAGATGAAAATCTCAGGTCCGTAGGTTAGTTGATAGTATTTTATCAAGGATATTCATGAATGAAACTTCAGGACATTATGTTATGTTAAATAAGGCAGTCACAAAAACACAAATACTCTATGACTTTTTTACAAGAAGAGCTTAGAGTTGTCACAATCATGTGGATAAAAAGTAACTTGGTGGCCACCAAGGACTGGTTTTCAGTGAAGCCTATACCTTTGGGGAAAAAAAATAGGTTGTAGAAGGAAGATTGGGATTTAAACAAAACCAACAATACACTTTTGGCTCTGTGGAAGGTGAAGCCATCTTCTTTCTTGGTCTTGTCCACTATGGACAGGTTTGTGAAAGTGTGTTGTCCTTTGTTACTAGAGTGCACCTGCCCAAGTCCTCGTGTTTGTCCCTTAGAGGAGCTGAGCTTGCACATCTTGGAGCAGAGAAGGTGGGAACAGGAGTTATGCTGTGATGGTGACCTTCAGCCTGCCTTTGTGTCTCGGGGAGGAGAGTTTTCTGGGTTTCCTAGAGGCAGTAACATGAGTCATAGGGACAAGGGCTTCCATGTAATATTGCAGCACAATATTGGCAGATGCAGACTTGGAAAAGTTCTGTGGGTGGATGTGGTGTGGTCACAGAGCCGTGTGAATGTAGTAATTCCACTGAACTGGACACCCAAGATAATTAAAGTGGTAAATTTTGTGTATTTTACCACAATTTTTTTAAAAAAATCGGTAATGTTAAAAGGGGCAGTGGTGTAGCACTGTGGTGCACGCCTGTGGTGACAGCTACTTGGCTGAGGCAGGCAGATCCCAGGTCAAGGCCATCCTGGGCAACTTAGCAAGACCTTGTCTTAGGGAGTTGAGGTATAGATCAAGTGTAGAGTGGGTCTCATTTCAATCCACAGTAGTGGAAAAAAAAAAAAGAGGGAAAGTAACTTAACAGTGCCTTCTCAGCAGAGAAACCTTGCAGATACCAGCTTACCAAAGAGGTCAAGGTCAATATCACGAGTGGAGAGGTGCTTTATGTACCCGCAAAATGGCTTACTGAGAAGAGCACAAAGTGACTTCTGTAATACTCCTGCCCAAAGTGCAAAACCTAAATTTAATGAGGACGTCAGTCAAGCTAGAATTAAAAGACATTCAACAAAATCACTTACCTGTTGTTTTTAAAAAAATATCAGTGTCATGAAAGACAAAGAAGGCCAAGGAACTGTTCCACGCTGAGGGAAACTGAAGAGACATGACAACCAAATGCCACGGGTGACTGGGGTTTTCTTCTGCTGGTCCAACTGGGACAACTGGTGAACTCTGAGGAAGGTCTGTAGGAGAATGAGTATCTTACCCGTGATCATTTCATGATTTGATCAGTTGTTTTGTGGTTATGGAAGCAGATATCCTTGTTTGGGGGAAATACACCCAGGAGTGGCAAAAGAGCATCATTTTGTCTCCTTGAAAAAATATAAGAAGATGAGATGTTTACTGAGAGAGAGAAAGATGAGCAAATGTGGTAAAATGTTAGCTGTCGTGGGATTAGGGTGAAGGGTGTACAGGAATTCTTTGTTCTATTTTTGCAACTGTAGGTTTGAAATAATGTCACAATTAGTTGTTTTAAGTGACTTAATGTTTTAAGGAGCAGGGGAAGCATAAATACAGTCCAGATGGTAAGAAAAGCTTCCATGCTGCCAGGCTATGCTGACCAGGATTTTGAAACTGTGAAGTTCTCAGTCCTACATCCTCAAGAATTCCCCACTTCCCCACAACTCCACTGTACCATCTCAGTTCAAATCCACTTTTTCTGGAACCTTTATAGTCAACTCTGAGGCTGGGAACAGTAGTGCACACCTGCAATCCCAGTAACTGGGAAGGCTGAGGCAGGAGGGTCACGAGTTCAAGGCCAGCCTGGGCTACTTAGGAGGCCCTAGCAACCTAGTGAAAGCCTGTCTCAAAATAAAAAATAAGGAAGGGCTGGGGTTGCATTTCAGTAGTTGAGGACTCCTGTATTCAGTTACCATTAACAGAAACAAACGAAAAACAATTCTTGGGGCTGGGGTTTGGGGCTCATCGGTAGAGCACTCGTCTAGCATGTTCGAGGCACTGGGTTCGATCCTCAGCACCACATAGCAATAAATAAAATAAAGGCATTGTGTCCAACTACAACTAAAAAAAAAATTTWAAAAAAATAATTCTGCACAAAATCTGGGCCCTGATATTGCTTTCCAGGAGACAACTCTTAAACACTCTTGAAATTTATTCATAGCCTCATGTGAGAGAAAACGATCTGGTGGACTTGGGTTTCTACGGTGGCTTTCGTCTCCTAACATCAGCCTCAGCTTCATGGTGTTGCTGTGAATAATTTTTCTTGAGGGGAAGGAGGGGGATTACAGAAAATTTCCAGCTGTAGAACTCTACCTGTTATGATTGTCCCTGAGCCTGTTTCCTTTTCTGTAAAACAGGACTAGTAATGATTCTACCGTCATCAAGTAGCATTAGCTGGAGCAGCACTGTGCAGGTAAAGCTTTTGACATTGGCTTGGAAAGTAACAAACACTCAGAAGTCACAGCTGTTAGGAGAAGGGGCTCCTGGCCTGTCCACTGGAGGGTTCTTTACACGACCAACCAAGGATTAGTACTGGGGCCGTTCGTTCAAATCAACTCCAGTGACACAACTCTGTTGCCAAGAGCATGTCAATCAACTGTGTCCTCTAATGCTCTATTTTTGGGGGAGGGATCTTTATATTTCCTTTGGGATGTAGAGGTTCTGTAGGAAATATTTTTTAACTTTACCAAAGTAAAAAATAAAGGAAAACATCAGTGTTTGTTGACTTGTTTGGTTTTATCTTGGTTTGTTTATTCTTTCTAGAGAAAGACTTTACTTACCTTTTAAGGGTCCCTGGAGGATTGGAAAATGTGACCCATGTTGTGTACCTTGTCCCCATGAGAAAAAAATAAGTGCCCATCTATTTTTGTTCTCACCCATATATACCCTTGCACATGAGATTTTGCATACAACTTGAGGGGTCTCACAGCCCAGTAAAGTCCACACATGCATACCTGGTATAGGATCAAGCTCTGCTGCAAGTACCCTGGGTCTCTAATGCCTGGGGCATGATAAATGCTCAGTGTTCGTTTATGGAAGCAATGAATGGGTGCAATATGGTGTGTTTGCCTTCTTGGATCCTCTCTCCAAATTGTTCCGTCTCTGCACGCTCAGAGCTCATCTCTTCTCTCCATTATCCCCAGCCCCCCACCCCAGCTCCCAGCCAGTACACACGGGACTTCCCTTTGTCTCCTTCTCTGATTCAGTGGTTTAGACTCTGATTGGTGCAATAAAGTACAAATAGACTTTGCTTCCACAGTCATTAGTTTTCAGGATTTCTCTGTGGCTCCCCTCTTCTGGGAAACTCAGAAATTGATCAGTGGAAATACACATTTCCCCTGAACCTAGTAAGGCGCCTTTTATCACATCAACAGAAAACTTTTCATTTTGGAAAGGAATGGACAAGGTTTCTCTAAGGTGCTATAAATTCTTGAGAACGTTGGCACTTACATGCCTGCATCTGTGTGTGTTTGTGGGATATAAATTGTTTTAAAGGAGTTCATTTTGAGCAATATCAGATTTTAATTATTATGATCTTATGTTTGGGTAATTGGCAGCACCCTGCTGCTAATATCTTCCAAACTGAACAAGCCATTAGCTCGATACTATCAACTCAGGAGTATTAGAATAAGCAATCAGAATTAAAGTTGTCAGTATTTAATTAAAATATGCTGCAACTCATATCATATTCAGAGAACATGTGGTTTAAACATTCAGACTGAGAAAATGCCCTCATCAATTAATAATTATTAAGGATTCACTAGATGCAGAACAATGTGTTGATGGTTGGGCACAATGTCACTGGACAGAGTCAACAAAATCTGCCATGGATAAGCTACAAGGTAGCTAAGCCACCTATTGTAATCAGCACAGCATAACACTTAAGACAGTGCAGGTAAGACTGAGGACTGGATTTGGGTGGCACACAGTCCTGGGGACATAGCTCACAATCAGTCCTTCGATAAACGTACCAGCATTTTGCCAACAGCTGGGAATCCAGGGGTCCAGCTGAACCTGATAAATATCACTGAAGCTGTCTGAGGCATGTCACATGCTCCCCCATGATTACCTGGTTAAGGTTCAGAGCATCAGTTTATGTTTAAATTGCCTAGAATAGGTCTATTATAATCAATCTAAAACAAGTCTGGTGGAGAGTCCTGTTTGGCTCTCTTGTTTCCTGCTCATCATAATTCTGATGTGATGCTGATTC